GCCGGGGGAGCAGGGGACCGGCACTATTTGCCTAAAATAAGAGTTTATCTATATTTAAAAAAGATGATGTAATATATTCCCCCCCCGGCCCCTCCGCTGCTGCCCGCCAGCGCTGCCCGGCCCCCCGCGCGTCTGTCCCTTGCCATGGGGTGCCGGGAGGGGTGATGGGGACGAGGGGCTTGGCTCCTGTCATGGCTTTAAAGTGCCTTATGGTGAACTTGAAATTTTCGGCTACTTGAACCTCTCTGGTGTCAGGAACCAAACGAATAATTGGCAGGCGGCCGCCCCCCGCCCTGCCGGGTCGCCTCTGTCTGTCTGTCTGTCTGTTTGTGTTTGTTTTTTTTTAAACGAAGGCTGCTTGGTAATAAACGGAGAAGCAGGGATCCCCCCCGCGCCCGGCTGTCTGTCCGCCCTGCACCCCCTCCCTGGAGCAACGCTACTCAGGCCTGGGGGAGCGAGTGGGTCTGGGGGCACTGTGGGGATGCAGATGGGGACACTGTGGGGCTGGGGGCACCATAGGGATGGGGATGGGGGCACCACGGGGCTGGGGACGGGGACATCAAGGGGCTCTGGGCACCATGGGGATGGGGATGGGGATGGGTGGGGGCACAATGGAGCTGGGGGCACCATGGGGATGGAGCCAGAGGCAGCACAGGGCTAGGGGCACCACGAGGTCGGGACCATCGTGGGGGGCTGGATGCCAGCTCCAGGCACAGGGATGCTGCTTCCTTGAAGACCAGGTGCTTTATTCACCAGCCCCTCCCCACCCACCCCAGCAGCTCCTGGCTTCCACCACGCTGCTCAGGCTCCAGCCATGACCCCAGAGCCTGGCCCCGCATCCTCGCTGCCACATGGCACCGTCCTGCCATCACCGGGCCCTGCCCTGGCTGCTGGGCGGCCGCAGGGCCATCACCTCCTCCAGCTCGCTGCCACTGCTCTCAGGCTGCTCCTGGTAGCTGAAGTCCAGGCTGGGGTGGGGAGAGCAGTGTTGGTGACCAGCACCCCCAGTGCCAGGGCATGTCAGGGACATCGCCACCCCCATCACCAGCCCTCACCTGGAAAGCGAGCTGTCCTCGCCATCCACCCCACTGCTGCCCCCGTCGCTCTCCCCGCTCGCCTCCTCCTTCAGCTGGGCTCGCAGCCGGGCTGTCAGTTCAGGGGGCAGCCGCCGGCTGCCCCCCCAGCCCCCCACCACTTTGCGGATGTGCTGCTGCAGCAGCCGCCCTTGCTCCTGTCCCCGCAGCGCCCGCACAGCTCCCAGCCACAGCCCCACTGTGTCCTCGTCACTGGAGTCCCTGCAGAGATGGGGCAGGGGGGGTGAGCTGCAGACCCTCCCACCCACTGCAGCCCCACCAGACTCCAGTGGGCTCCCTGCACCCCTCTGCTCACATCTCCTCGTCCCCAGTGTCCCGGTAGCTCAGGGGGCCCATGCAGATGGAACAGATGTTGTTCAGGGTTTGGTAGCACTCAGTGCAATACAACCCTAGGGAAAACAGAGCCATGAGAGGGGCGGGAAATTCTGAGGGCAGTGTCCCCTGTCTGGGGGAGCTCCTACCTTTGCAGCTGGGTGTGATGCATGCGATGAAATCCGGCTGCTCTGCCATCCCACAGGCCAGGCAGCGTTTCTGCTGGATGCCCAAGAGCCGAACCAGCCGGGCAAAGGTAGGCAGCCTGCCGGCAGGGAGTTGATGCTCCATGGGGCAACGCCATCCCCGGGGGTCCGCAGCAAGGGCTTTGCCATTGCTGCAGACCCCCAGGGATGGCGTTGCCCTTTTGCAATGCCCAGCAAGGTGCTTATGGGGTTGGGATGGCTCCAACTCCATGCATGCATTCCCCAGGGGAGCTTACCTGGAGGTAAGGAATAGGAGCAGGTTGCCTTGCCCGGCGTCGGCCGTACGCTGCATGACAGCTTGGCGCAGGGCACGTGCCAGCCCTGCCCGCCGTGCCAGGATGGTGCTGTGGAGGAAGGTTGTGCGCTCCTGGCATGGCAGGGGTGGGGTGAGGGCAAGTGGCTGCCAAGGGGGCATGGGGAGGTGGGGGGGGCTTCTCACCTGCTCACGGCATGGGTAGTAGGCGGCACACACTGCCCGGCGCAGGCGTGCCACATAGCTGCCGAAGACAGCGATGAAGAGGCAGATGCCATACAGGAGTCCTGGTGGGAAGAGGATGAGTCACGCAGGGGTGACCTCCCCTGCACCCTCCCCCCGCTACCTGGCACGCTGAGGGTGCAGCAGCCCCAGTCACCCATGCTGAGGTAGGTGCTGTAGTCGGGCTCCACGGGTTGGAGGATGCAGCGCTGGGAGAGCACCGAGATGTTGCCCTGCTGCAGCATGCCGAAGGCAGAGACCAAGTCCCGGAAGATGTCACTGGTGTAGCCCGTCCCGTTGACACTGACACCCAGCACCGCCGGCGCTGCGGGGTGCACAGCTCAGTCCCGGGGAACGGGGCAGCTGCTGCCGCAAAGCCCTGGCCCCCAGCCAGCAAAGCACTCAAGGGTGCTGCTCCGGCATGGTGGGTGCTGCTCACCCCTGGCAACGATCTCCCCCCGCAGCTGGTGCTGGACCAGGTCAAGCAGCCAGAAGAGGCTGTAGTCGGCCAGGACGATGCTGAGCCCCAGCAGCACGTGGCGCAGGACCCCCACCAGCTGCAGCCCGTATTGTCGCCGTTCCTGCCGTGACAGCCACAGCCCGGCTGGGCGGGCATGGAGCGCCATGAGGCCATGCGGTGCTGGGACCCCCTGGCTCCTTGCTGCAGGGCTCACCTGGGGGATGCTCCCCCGGGTGTGGGGCTGACCTGGGGCAATGTAGCGGCCGCTCTCCCAGGCAGTCAGGGGCAGCACGGTGGGTTTGCCCTGCTCTGCCCGCCACAGATCCAGCTCCACGAAGCGCCGTGTGATGTAAACGTTGTCAAACGTGTCATCCCGCAGGTATCGGTGACGGTACCGCAGCGCCCTGGGGACACAAGGGGGATGCTAGGCACTGGCACACTGGGTTACCGTCCCCACGGGGGGGCTGGAGCGGGACCCCAGCCCACTCACTGGAGGTACATGTAGAGAATGGCGCAGAAGGAGACGTGCATGAAGAGCCCCAGGACCTGGCGGATGGGCTCCAGGCGCAGGCGCACGCCCTCCATGATGTCCAGGGCCACCTCCCCCAGGCTCTTGCTGGCGTTGAGGCTGATGTCAAAGCGGTGCACAGCCGAGATGTTGAACTCGAACTCCCGGTGGACGCGGTCCAGAGCGTCCCTGAGGGCTGCAGGGGTGACAAGGGGCCACGCGGTGCTGGGGGTTGGGGCAAGAGCCAGGACAGGGCAGAGGCAGGGCAGAGAGGGACCCTCAACCCCGCCATGGCACTGGGATACTCACGGTCTCCGATTTTCCTCTTGAGGAAGGACTGGATGTACTGCGGGATGATGCAGAAGAGGAGGGCAACTGCGGAGAGGAGGGGTCTCTGCCAGGGTGAGGGCCCTGTGGTGGGTATGGGTCCACCCTGCCACCTCCCACCCCTGCTGCAGAGGGACAGGGACCCACTCACCATTGGCCAGACCACAGAGGGGCCTGAAAATGATGATGATGTAGCAGAGGAAGAAGAGGAAGGGGATGGCGCGCTCGCACCTGTCCTTGGCCTCGTCGAAGAGGCGCAAGCAGCGGCGGTACGGCGTGCCCAACTCGTGGTTGCACACTCTGCCCATGTTCGCCAGCCACAGCCAGACATTGTGCAGGGCTCGGGCTGTGGGCAGGGAGCAAGCGTTGAGGGACAGGCAGCAGGCAACGGGGACAGGGACAGACTGAAAGCAGGATGGGGGGGTGCTGGAGATGGGGAGACCCTCGGGGACCTCCGCTTACCGACATGGCTGACAGAGTCCATGATGGAGCGGAAGAACTTGCGGACATGGTCGCCCACCACCTTGGCTTTCTGGGCAATGTCCTTGATTTTGGACAACACATCTGCAGAGAGGGGCGACCCCTGACCATACCCCGAAGGGCGAGGGCAGCCCAGGGCCGGCTAGTGCTGCTGGGGCTCCCCCCGGGAAGGGACCCTCCCATCCCACCGCATCCCCTTGGCCCCTCCTCTCACTCAGCAGCGGCTCCTGGGCGCGTTGCAGCCGCTCGGCTGTCTGGTTGAGGGCGAGCTCAGCCCCACACGACAGCGACTCGGCGGCCCGGGAGAAGTTGTGCAGGATGTTGGTGCAGGGGCCCTGCATGGCCATGCCCAGTGCCAGCAGCAGCATCAGCATCTTCCCCTCCCCTGCAAGGACAGGGGGGTCCTGGGGCTCAGCTGGGACCCGGCACCCCCCTGGCACTCCCCTGGCTCCCAGCGGCGGTACCAACAGCTGCTTACTGGTGAAGATGTGGGGCAGCGATAGCAGCACAGTGACCCGCACCTTGACAGAGAAGGCCATGCCCAGCCCCAGCCCTGCGCCCAGGCTGGTGGTGGTGACCAGGCAGTACCAAACATTGTGGCCCTGCGCCAGCAGCACCAGAGCTCCATACAGGCTGGCCAGGGCCATGCCCAGCACGAAGCCACTGGCACTGCGGGCTAATTCCCGCGCCTTGCTGGCCTCCTCTGGCTGGCGCATCTGCCGGGGCCACCTGCCCCCAGACCACTGTGACGGGCTCTTCCCCCAGCCCCTCAGTCCCTGCAGGGCTCTGCCCAGCCACAAGACCAGCCCCATGCTGGGCTGGCTGTCCCAGGCTCCTGGTGCTCTCCCAGGCTCTGGGCACAGGGATACGGCAGGGGGGAAGGGCAGCTCACAAAGG